ACCAGACTATTCATAAAGTTGCACGGTAATGTATCAGACAGTGTCTCTTTGCTATTCATAAGGTTTTCCCTGGCCAATTTTTTGAGAAGTGGACAGCCTCTTCCTTCTTCCTAGTCTGTCTCAGTCTGTAAGCTGGGCTGATACCTGTGCACCATATGCATCCCACTGGGTTTGAAACACCAGTGGCGCAGCCTCAAAACTCACATCAACACATCACCACGGTAGCACAAACTGACGGACAAGTTTGACTCCCTGTTGGAAACCTCTCCTACCACCCTTACCTGGGTCCCTGCAGCTGACTGCTCCTCTGTCCCGGTTCCCGAGCCTTTTAACCCCTTTCTCCCGCTCTCCCGCCCTGCTGCTTTGGGCGTGCCTGGGTTCCCTCTCTAGGGAACTACCCTATAATCATACCCTATAAGCATACTTCTACGTATGCTTATAGGTAGTTTTACTTTCAGAGGATCTTTATTAATACTTTCATTCCATTCCTGTAAGCAAATTATGGTAGGGATCCCATTTTACTAACAGAAACTGAGGCTTACAGGGAATAAAAAGGAATAAATGCAGGGAATGGTCACTAGGGTTCCTAATTCCAGGGCGCCTCTTTTCTACCATTGAATGCAAGTTCTCAGCCAGCTGCTACCTGGAGAACCATATGCCATCTCATGGTGGCACAGAGTCCTCTTAAAGACATCTTAAAAGTCATAGCTGGAGGCTCAGGCTCTGGACTCAGACCACGTCCTGGAGTGACACCCACTCCACAGGGTCACACAGGTAGTGCTTAGCCTGGTGCCTGGCACAGAGCCAGTTCTCCTGGAGTGGGAGCCCTGTGGAAGAACAGGGAGGAAGAGACCGAGGTGTGTACTGCCGGCCATACTCTTCAGGGCCCCTTCTCAGTCACCTCGAGAAGCCTGAGGCACATGGAGAGTGTGATGAGATGTGAACCATCCCATTTGTACACACATGAGGAGGCCTTGCTAACTGTCGGGAAAGCCGGGAATTCTGCCAGATCTCCCTGGCTCAGGAGGTCTAAGCCTTCAGCTCAGGTTTTCCTCTGGCTGCTGGACACAGGCCCCAGAGCCTGGGCTGCCCAGACCAATGTACCACCACTACCTCAGCGGCCACAGAGGAACGCCCTAGACTCCGGTTGAGCTCTCCCCCTGGAGACAAGGCCCGAAGTGTAGGGGGAAGTGGTTCCCAGCCCTCAAAGGCCTCCTTGGTGAGCCTGTCTTGTATGTATTCTGCACCTTCCCCAGCCATTTTCCTCCTCTTGGTTATCTCAGGCATGTTGAGAAGGTGGCTTCCTCCCACCCTGCCTGTCACCTGGACTGCTACATAGTCCCAAGCTGCTGCTTGCTGCCCACCCCTCATCACGGCACTCACCTAGAGCGTTAGGTCTAAGGGAGGATTTGCCAGCCTCAACAATGAACTCTCCTTGCCAGGTGACAGAGAGCAGGACTTCAGGTGGCCCCCTGTTCCTGCTGGCATACCCTCCAGCATGCTGTCCAGTTCTGGCTGCAGGGGCCTATCTGCGGTCATCGGGCCCAGGGCCTGCCCTTCTCGACAGCACCCAGCAGGCCCCTACAGGACTGGGCAGAGACTGTAGCTCAGAGCAGAGCCCTCAAATGCACTGTAGAAGCACATCAGAGGCTGGTGAGCAGCTGTGCACAGGCCTGGGGGGGACGGCCTGGATGAGAGCAGCTGTGTGCAGGTGGGGGAGGTCAGGGTTGGGGGCTTGTCTGAGTCAGGGCCAGAATAGGGCTTCTCTGGCCAGTGTCACTCCTACAGGATCCAGAGAAGCAGGTCCAGGCCAGGGGCTTTGCAGCCCTTTCCTGCTTTTGAGGGGTCATGATGCTCAGGGTACACGACGGGACCTCTCTCGGCAGGATGAACCTGCAGCACTGGCACCTTGAAGCACTGCTTTGTCAGCTCCAGGGCTCCCAGCTGGCCAGGTGCCTAGCAGCTGCATGGTACATGCTCACAGGGCACAACAGCTGGCGCAGACCCTGGTGAGTGGGGGCACTTCCAGCCAAGAGACCTGAGAGCCCAGGGACTAGTCTCCCCTTTCCAGCCACCTCTCAAATGTTTCTCAAAATATGACCTACCAATCTACTGAGTTTGCAACGTAGTGGTCAGGCCCAGGAATCTGCATTAACACACTCTCCATCAGCCACTCCTCGGAAGGAAGGTTGGGCAATCCTACTTCCGTAGTGATACTGCCTCAGAAACCCAAGGAGGGGTCGCTATGAGTTGGGGTCGACTCGACGGCA